TTCCATGGTAACATACAATCTTGCTGTTAGGAGGAACAATTTAATAGAGTATATTATAATATGACTATATTGTTAATAGTAGGGCTGGCACTGAACTGTCCGATTTTGCCTTCGGAAACGGACTTTCGGAACTGCTTTCTCATATTCCAAATTTTTGGAAACTATTTTTAGTATTTTCTTTCTGATTTGCATGCAATATCGACAAAAACGAGTGAGTTCACTATAAGAACACACACCAACTCGATATAGCGAACTGGAATGGTAGAACTCTCCTTATAAATTGACAAAGTTCAAATTAGAATTTCTCAAATTGCAGCCCATTGATTTTTAAAGAATTTCAGAGAAGTACAGCAAAACATCTCACCTTCATGTCAAAAAAATTTCAACAAAAATATCTCTTCAAAATCAAAAGTTCTGCTCTCTTACATAGTTGGAGTGTCAAAACGTCATCATATTAATACATGTCTATGTTATGTCCATTGACCAATTCGGAGTGACCACTTCACCACTACCAAACTCATCCATCTGCAGAAAATAATCCCAAATATTTGACCGTTCACTGTTATGGTCACATGTTTTCCCGTTATTCTGGGCATTATATGTCTGCAAATTAGAATATTTTTAATAGAACTACTTTCCTCATACTACAAAATAAACAAACTGGGTAAAGATAGCACACTCAATGAAACAAAATCAATAAATATATGTTTAAATATTGAAAATATATGTTGTTAGAGTTGTTTTATATGCAAAAATACCCTTAATAATTGATTCATAATTGTTTTTATATATTTCATACCATCTAGTGTTTAGCTATAGATGGAAATATCATAATGCATGATGATTTTGTTTTGTACAAATTTGACATTCACAAAAACATTACGGCAGACAATAATAATTTGAGTATGAAATCATGAGAATGAAGTCTCTAGCATTATTGCCAAAAATAAGACCGATAGGTCCAGGACCTGAGTATGTAAGCTGCACATATCTTAACAACTAGGTAGAAAATAGCCGATAGTTGATGTTTTAATTATTTTTTGAAATGTTTTAAGAAATTCTGATTTGAATTCTTTCTCAGATATAGTTTTAGATAAGTGCAGACAGTGCAGTTCAGTAATAATTCTATCAGAATATGATTGATCGATATGGCTTTTCTAAAATGTTGATTCTGTTCAGCTGTTCTGATTATTAAAAAATGTTATTCTTTTCAGGCCACACATCATGGGTGTTGAAACACATCACCAACAAATATCCTGGGGCTTATCCAAAGGACAGTTACCTCAAGGCTGAATCTGCTAGCACTCAGTCCTTGATATAAACATGATACATGTTAACTTATTTCTCTATGTTGTACACTAGCCTTGTTGCAGCTAACAATGACAACTTGAAGAAATCCATTCTGTTCCGTGCCAGCCCTAGTTAATAGTCACTGTTGAAAAGCAACTTTAACGTTCAAGTCAACTCGAGAATGATTAACGTAAAAGCAATAAATGGCACAACAACTGGTTTTGGAATCTTCAGATAAATTCTACATTCATAAAAATATTATTCACATAAATTCCCTTGAACTCAAGGATGAAAAATCCAAAATGGTATCCTTAACATTTTATCAAAAATGCACCAAATCTATGAGTTTTAGACTTTCATATCGAGGGTTTCAAGCAAAAAAGTACTAAGTGCACTTTTGTTACTTTTGAGAAAATCGAGTTTAAAGATTCAAATACCTCTGTTAAATCAGCAATTTGTTAAATAGTTTTGATGTTTACCCACAGTATAGGTACAAATACTATCCTTGAGATGAACTAATGCAATATTCTTTGAGATTATTATTTTAATAGATATTACCAAATTAGTAACTGGTATCTTTTTGCATGTGCAACAATTTTTCATTTTCCAGTGCAATAAAATACTAATTGCAATATAGTACTATTTTGCAGGAACTGAATTATGAATTGTCAACACTATTATGAAACAAAAAGTACTATTTGAATATGATCTCAAAACTAAATGCTTTATTTATATGTTTTGCTACAAATAAATGCCAATTCAAATAAAAGTCATCATAATTTTAGATCGATAATGCCCTAATATAATGTTTTAAGCACCAGTTTTATCAAAATCACTTGGTGAACGTCAATTGTCTTTTGTTTTGACCTCCACTTCAGAGCCCGGAAATTTAGAAATGAGTAAGCATTGAATCTATAATTGGCCAACTGTAAAATCAAAGCATTTTACCAGATTTAAGTGCCCCAATTGACAATAACAAATACTTATCCTAAAATACAAGCTGGGGTTCTTAATCCCTGATCTGATTTTTCAAAGAGCCTTGGATAAAGACTTTGTTGTTGGGCTGTTACATTTTTGGCAATTGGGACTTCACTTAGAAAATGAGGATTAAAGCAAGGATGTATTGACTTGAAATGGGGACATGTACTCTTGACTACAATAAGCTGATTTCTAAGCCATCAAAGTCATTCATTGGCTAACATTTTTGTCACCCTGGAGCCTTTATACATGTCACATTCCCCTTTTTCTACCAATTGACAATTGTTTATATTGCTTAAAATGCATTGACTCCAAACATTGCGCCATGCATATTTTTAAACCATTGTGGACATTTACGTCTTGTGGGGACCATATTTTCGACATTTTTCAAATTCTATATTTTCTTGTCGATCAAAACTACTCAATTTTTACACTTCATCTCTTTTTCGGAGCAGCTCAGGGAATATGTCTGTCCTCATCAGTGTCATGCTCTGTCTCCTAAGGCATCAGGAGCAGAGAGTCTTGTAAGTGCTCCTCACTCCGATTCTCTGGTAAAAATCATGGTTGTCTATGGAAATAATCCCACTTTGGACATTGATAGGAGGTTGAATTTCTTTTCTTTTGAAATATTCAGCTTTTCAGTATATAAGTAGGGAACAGTAATACAGCACTTGCCCCTTTCATTTGCCTACCTCTTCTTGATGTAGTGAGTTTATCTCATTGAAAGTGGTCTCGTCAAAGTGGTATTAAAACAAAAGACTCTCCGGCTGTTCCTCAGAGTACCCAAGCCACTTAATATTCCTCCAATTTATCCCCAGTCATTTCCTTCTTCGAACTTGAGTATATGTTGAGCCCTTCGAAATTAAAGAAATTGTGTATGTATTTCCCTTTCCCTGCAATATGGACAAGTACGTTCCCGTTTATGGGAGCATAGACAAATGTTTCCATTTTCGCCAGCTTGAGGTAATCAGAAGATTTGTAAGCGGTGATACCTGCAGCATAGAAGGCAGTCTCCATCCCCTGGAATTCAATCTGCTACTTGTCCATTACTTTGTATGATGGCTCATGCTTTAATGACTCATCCCTGCTTATATTTATTGCTCATTTGAACGATGATGATAATGATGCTTCTTAATAACACAGCAGTGTTACTTTTTGATGTTCTTTGTTTGGGTTCTCTTTTCTTTAGTTGGACAACCTCTTCTTCTTCACCTGATGATTTATCAATGGATGTTTTTGATGAGTCTGAAGAAGTCATCATTGCATGATTCATAATCTACGCCAGCATCAGAATCATCTCTGTCTTAATCTGGGATAAAGACAGCAAGAGGTTCATTATCTGAATCGCTGAAGCAATTTGTATGTCAAGAGAGATTCATCATCAGTTATATGGAAACCATCATATTCATCTCTCTTTTGAGTTGCTTATACTTCTAGTTTTATACATTGGAGTTGATGTCTTGAGTTTTGCAGACATGTTATGATTTGATGAAGGATGGTGGTTGAAGGGCTTTCTTGATGGAGGGTGGAGGTCGGTGTGATACCTTGCTCTGGGATTGCAGTAGGTGCCCTGTCTTGTACAAGGTTACGTTGGGGCTCGAGGTGTTGTCATGATCGAGAATGGGTGTTGTAGTACTGCCTTGATCTCGGATGGAGGTTAAATTCATGTTATTCCCAAAGACGGATGCTAAGCTGCCTTCATCTATGACGGAAGCTGTGCTTGATCTAGGACAGGTGCTGAAGTTTTACCTTTATCTAGGATGGGGGTTAAAGTGTTGTTACTTTCCAAAAAGGGAACTGTGTTGTCTTGTTCTAGGATTGGAGTCAGGCTTAGTTTGAATAGGGGTGTGTGCTTTAGAGTTGTCTTGTGCCATAAACATCGTGGAAATCATGTTCTGTGTCGTTATAGGTATTTTGGTGCCAGAATTTCATTGTCATTTTCAAATTCTCAAATAACTTCAAAGCAATTTTGCTAAACAGAAATGTTAATAAGCTCACATAGACTCTCCTCAAGGCTAGACAATATTACACAGATGAGTCATATCCATTGAAATTTACATTATTTTGACTGTCTAATATATTAATCGGTGCATGCAAAAAAGTACTATATTATTTATTATTTTCTATCCGGGTCCAGACACACAACCCATTATGTATCTATGTCTTTTGAATTTAGTATTTACCCTCTATATATTTGTACTATTTGTAAAACCAGGCTGGATCACTCATTTACTTTTAAAAGGACTAAATTTACTTATCTATTTAATGAATATGGAAGTGCAAAAACGTAACAAAATGATTATAGTATTTTTTTGCACACTCAAATTTCATTTGATATTTTTTTGCACGGAGTTTTTTGTTCAAAATCACTTAGTACTATATGTTTCTGTTTGTTATCTCGAGTTATATAGTACATATGACTAAGTCAACTAGATTAAATGAAAGCCATATTATTACACTATATCCTGGTATAAATAACTCTATTTTGATAAAAAATGCACTTAGTACTTTTTTGCTTGAAACCCTCGATATCAAGAAACATCCCTAAAAATATGGAAGATCCAAAATGGCTATCTCAACATTTACCTAGAATTTCAAAAACTAATCAGTTTCTTGATTTATATACAAAGAAACATCCCGCCAACTGATTCACCTTAAGATGTGTAGACAAGACAAGATTTTAGGATAGAAAACCAAAGTGGCTGCTTTTAATATTTACCCAGAGAGCCCAAAAAATATTCACTTCAAAGAAACATCCCTGAAAATTTGAAATCAATCTGTCAAATTCTTCACCTTGAAATGTATTGATAAAATTAAGCCTGGCAAACTGATCACAATATAGCACCAGTAAGGCAATAAGGCATAAAGAATTGACATTGAGTTCATTGTTCTACTCTCTTGCTTTGTTGTCCTAGAGTCCTGCTTTGTCATTTGTGTCTTGCTTTGTTGTTCCAATGTCTTGCTTCGTTGTTGTTCCAAAGTCTTGCTTCGTTGTTGTTCCAGTGTCTTGCTTTGATGTTTCAGTACCTTGTGAGGTTTATTGGAAAATTTTCAGTTACTAGGTTGTCATCTTGGAAGACTATCACTATGTTAATTTCAAACTCTGTAACAGAAAAAAATTAGTTTATTGTTTCAAAAGTTAATGCTGTAGTTGTGAGTGAAGTTTTGGTGGTGAAAAATTGATCATTTCCACCTTGCAATGAATATCATCAATGGAAATGTTGCGCTTTGACCTCTTACACCATAGCAGCAACTTTGGTATTGAATGATGTATGGATGCCCCGACATCTGGTATCTTCGACATTCGGTTGTACTGACAGTTCAAGGTGGTGTCAGATCTGCAGAGCAGTTTTCCAAAAAGCAGTCCGATTTAGTATATTTTTGTCTTGTTGCATTCCTTGTCATGCATATGTTTTAAAGAGTTCATAGTTTATTCAAGGAATTCATTTTGGCCTTACTGGTAGAGAAAATTGATTACTGGAGAAATGTGTAAATTCTTCACATTTCCAGTATTTGACTAAATATTTTGATCTTTTTTGGGATATTGTATTTTGAATAGGGAATGACATATTGGCTGAAGTCCAGTTTTATTTGCATAGTAATTTTATTTCTGATTCCAGCATTAAATCAGTCTGAGGTACAAAGGCTTGGAACATTTAATACAATGTAACTACACTAAACAGCATGTTAAAATCAGTCTGACACACTAAGTGTGATGTTTTGACTTACCAACTTTGAAGTTATTAGTGGCGAGTGTAGGGCATGTGAAGAGTCTGGGAAACACCATGTAGATAGGGATTGTCAGGTTACGACACACATCACCATCAGCTATTTGAATATTCTGAATCTCTGTGGCTGAAATCATGAAAGTAGCTCAATTTCACAAACTTACCACTTTATAAAGAATATTAATACTAGATATAGTGTGTTAATCTTTAAACTACATATTAAAATATGAGTGTACTGTATTCTTATTTTATATTCTGGTCTGACATTTATAAATGAATACCTATACCAAGATACAGCTTCTAGTATGCATATACATGTACTGTATTTTTAACTATTAAATTAGAAATGCAATTTCTGTTAGCTGGAACAAAAAGAACAACCTTTTACTATTTCCACATCAGGACTTCTCAAACACGCTTTCCAACTGTTAATTGTTGTATCATACAATAATTCAATTCATTTGAGTTATAATTATCTCACACGAGACACCACAAGGCATATATGTGTGGTCATGTTAATGTATGAGCAAATTACCATCTTTAGCATATCCCTCTGCACAACCACACGTCTCCACTCTGACTAACTGCATCTCTATAGACTTAATCGCTACTTCACTACTAGCAACCACCAGCTGAAACAACAGAGAGCATACATGTTCATATGTATGTTGGATATTTGATGATGGAAATCAACAGGTGAAAACTTAATTTGGTCTAAAATATTTGGTTCTGTGTCTCCTTTGGCACAATTTAAATTGTGGAAATAAAGGTCCCATTTTGAAAGAAATGCTCTACTATATGTATAAAATATAAGTTTAAATATGTCCATAACACAGTATTTATACGCTGGCCATTTTGAAGTGATAAATCTGGCAAATTATAAGTTAACATGAGAGCTTTTACTAGACATGATAGTTTCAAACGGTTCATCAGGATCTTTGTGCTGTTTAACTATAAAATACTCAAATAAAGGTAAATTCAATTCAAAATAACAAACTAACTAAATACTGTAGATTGGGTTAATTTGGCGCCCGCTTTAATTTGGCGAATTTGGCGAAATTGAAAAATTCGCCAATATAAATCTTCGCCAAAATTTAGAATGAATCCCCGGGAATTATCTAGGGTATTTCGTCCGGTGTATTTAGGGCAAATCCAGTTTAGTTTTTTTCCAAAAATATGAAAAAATGTCTCTCATAAATTGGCTCAGAACTGGTCAGTCACTCATTAATACTCAGGGAAAAACTAAGAAGGAAAAGCGCGGTATAGTAGCAGCATCGATCGAGGTGCAAAATGTAAAGGATGATCTCACAAAAATGTACAAACGTGGTGAATATCGCCAGTGGTCCTCAAAAGAAAAATGAATATAGCCAAACATGCCCATTAACATGGTAATTCGCAAACAGCGCGTAAGTTTAACATTGCATTAACATTCTTTTGCATATCCGCCAAATTAAATAGCCGCCAATATGCCAAAAATGGCAAAATCGCCAAATTAAGTAGCGCCAAATTAACCCAATCTACAGTAACTGAGAAGTATTCTCTTCAAATATGCTTTTCTGTATTTAGTTGATATTTGAGAGTTGTCACTCACCTCTCCTGTAAAAGGCTTGGTCAGACAGCATGTCGAGGAATTTAGTTTTCCCTTCACGCAAAATTTGGGAACATTTTGTTTGGAATTCTGAAATCAACAAGGCTCACATTGAAATTGAATTAAAAATATCACACTTTGAAGCAAACTGGCTGCCATGTTATTTAACTTGTAAAACCTAATCAGATCTCGACATTAGCCTACTCATGCATCTGTTAAAATTTCTAATTAAAAGGATAGGTGATGTTCATGGAATTTCAAAGACAAACTGTATGTGGCATTCACCTATCCGTACTCATCCTCCCACCCACAGCACAAGACAATGACAATAGCAAAATGAGCCAAAAACACATGATAAAGTGTGCCACACATTTACAATTATTAGAGTTATCCCTTTGATTGGATCAATGGACAGAAGTCTATATCTCTACTTGAATTGCTTTAAATGGGATGATATTAGTCATGAAAACACGGGATGAAATCCTGTGTAAAACAAGAAAGAAATCTTTTCGACCTACCTCTTTTACATTCTGTAGGGTTTCAGGAGTAACTGTAAATGGGACAGGTTTCACAGCATCTGCTGAAGATGCACTCTTTTGTTCCTAGAGTCAAATTAAAGCCTTGAGATGTCATGCTTCATTTTCTTAAAACTTAAATACTGAAATATAACTCAAGTTCATTTTCATGTTTTAACTACTGAAGTAAACAAAAGAGGACAAAATGAAATTCTGGGTGCCTTCTCCAATCAATGCCGATCAAATATTTAGGTTGGGTTCCCAAAGATTTCATAACCCCCTTACTGGATATGCTTTCCTAAAGAATCTGTACTTTACAATGTTGTTACCTGAGTGGTTATAAATAGTGTACAAGTAAGTGTACAAATAGTGTATATTCAAATAAATAGATAAATAAACTAGATAACAGCAACACCAAGGCATAGCAAATCCCATCAAATAGCCATGGCTGCCATTTTTACAAAATCCTTCCACTTCTTTCACTTGAAGCAAAACTTGAAAGTAAAATAACGTACATAAGAATAGCCATCATTTTTCAAAATGGCTTCTCACTAGCCATATTGTCATTAGAAAGTGTAATATGCTTCTTAGTAGGCATATATCAAAGTTCAACAAAATTGCTCCACTACTTTTTGAATGAGAGTAAAAAACGTAAAACTACACCATAAAAATGATGACCATTTTTCAAAATGGCAGTCATCTTTCAAAATGGCCACTAACTAGCCAAAGTGTCATAAGCAGTGAGCCAATGTTCATGCACATATATATTCACTTATCAAATATGAACCAAATTGATCCCCTAATTCTCAAGTTATGGTAAAATGTATGTAAAACAACACACGTAAAAATGGTGGCCTACTAGCCAAAGAATTACGAGAACTTCATTCGATGGGATAATAAATATGTATTTACATCACCTTGTATTCCACAATGAATTCTGTTTGCTTTGATAAGTCCTTGTTCAGGAGAGACCTCTTCATATCAACTCGTACAAGGTACTACAAAACAAAGAATGCATATATCATCTCTCATTAAGCACTGCAAAATGCAACATGTATCACGCCCGCCGGTTATAAGGAAAACTGGGATGGAGAGGGGGAGCAGGCAATTTTTGTTAGAAAATTCAACAAATCTGGAAGATTTATTTTTTCAATAGAGTTTACTGTTGAATTGCTCAATGAATTTGTGCATGGTATGGTAACATATGTTAGGTATTTTAGGATTTATTTTGAACCAATATGATTTTAAGATATAAGATCTATTAAAAAGGCACAATGCCACTAACGTACAAAAGTCAATGTTTTTGCCATAAACCAAGAAACAATGGTCTACATGACTTGTTATAAATACTTGCGAGTGACATTATTATTAATTGTTCATTTATATTTATTAAATTATTATTTGGTCAGTATTCCAGGTCCTAGACTGTGATTTGTCTCCCCTCCCCCATTTTTTATATATATTTTTTCTTCAAATTTTCGACCAAATTACCTATCTCCAGATCTAGGAAAGGTATTTACCCACAGTTTTTTGTTCTAAAATGGTAGATCCTATACACATCTATAACATTTATCACAATTTTCTGGCTAAAAAAATATTATATGTCATTTTTATTGAACAAGTAAAAAATATACCAAAAATCAAGCCCTTTTGATACTTTGGCCTACTTTTGACCCCATTTGACCTACTTTATTACACCTTCCTCAGGAGTTTTGAATGCTAACTTAGTTTTTACAGTTTATCTTCAACTTTGGAAATGCCAGAGGGGGGGGGGGTCATCTGTCCATTAGTTTAATGAAAAATACATTTTACACATTAGGGATATTTATTTATTTATTTATTATTTAGACTTACACTTTTAAATCAGTGGCACACTAAAAATATTTAGGTGCGTCTACAGTCAAAATACATACATGATCATTAAAATATCTAAAATCGTTCTTATAAGTCAGGTTTAAAAATCTTTGTTAAAAACTGTTTTACCAGTCCATCTACAATATAAAATTGATCGTGCCCCCATTGACTGAGAACATCATCACCTAACATAAAATAGAGTTTATTTTCTGAGGTACAGGATATAAAATAATTAAACACATTCTCATTGCATTTGTCTAGTAACTTACAATAGAAGTCTGTTCTTTCTTTGTTAAAGAAAGAACATTCTACAAGTCTGTGTTGGATAGAGTCATCTACATTATCTTTACATAATATGCATTTTCCATCTGTCTTTCTTTGTGATTCATAATTGGAATATAGAGCAAATTTGTTACATCTTGCTAAGAATTTGAGCTTTGATCCATAGAAGTCATTGTTTTGTTTCAGGTAGTTCTCTAAATTAGTGTGTTTCTTGATTTTTGAATAAAATTTTAAGGAGCTATATTCCTTAATACTAGAGTGAAACTCATTAACATATTCATCCTTGCAAATAGACAAATAGTTGTCATACCAATCACAATCTCTTCTATAAATTACATCATCGAGACCTCGTTTACACAGTAATTCTTTAACATTAGATACATACTTCCACGAAGCTTCATTATCTTGCTCAAAGCGCTTCATGAGCGAGCAAAATATTTTATGTGAGAGGGAAGTCTTACAAGCTTTGTACTTTAGATACATAAAATAATCAATAAGGCGTTTTTCATAAATTCCACATATAGGGCTCCAACCAAGATCTCCAATCAAAGCGGAGTGGGCAGGTTTGCATTTTAATTGAAGTACTGCTTGAGCTGCTCTATATTGGATAGACTTAAGGGTTTTATTTGATTCTTTCGTAAGGGTAGACCATATTGAGCAGCTGTGAAGTATCGCTGGTTCGAGCATTGACTTGTATATAGTGTTTCCAAATTCAATTCGATTGACATTGCAATGTTTTGTAAGTGTTGCTGAGGTATAATTATACATTTTACGTGCCTTTTCCTTCACAAAATTATTAATATGATGTGAGTCTCTTAGGTTTTTATGAAACATATAACCAAGATATTTATAATCAGTCACCTCGGTTAGGTTAAGATCGCCCAATTTCCAGATCTTTTTACGGTCAATGTGCTTTCCTATCACCATAATTTTTGATTTTTTCCTGCTGAATTTAAAGCCCCATTTAATACCAAAAGTATTTACAGTTTGGAGAAGCATTTTCAAATCGTTTTCATCTTTTCCTAAGAGAACAATGTCATCAGCGAATAGCAAGCATGGAATACGCTCATTATCAAGATTAACACCGAGATTAGTTTTCATCAAGCTGTTTTCAAGGTCTGACATCACAATTAAAAAGAGAGTTGGAGAGAGAATGCATCCTTGCTTGACACCAACATCAGATTCAAACCAGTCAGTGCAAAAATTGCCAAAAATAACTTTGTTTTGAACATTAGAGTATAGGTGTCTGAGAGTTCTCCAAAGTTTACCTTGTATGCCCTTTTCCCATAATTTTATAAAAAGCATATCTCTATCCAAGACATCAAAGGCTTTTGAGATGTCGATAAAAGCTAAATAAGTCTTTAAACGCTGTGATTTACGGATACCACATATTCCTTTCAGAGAAAAAATATGATTTTCTAAGCGATGTCCTTTTTGGAAAGCGCCTTGTAGATTGCCAAGGAGGTTATTTTCCTGAAGGTATGACATCATTTTCGATTCTATAAGGTTTGAGAAGACTTTGTAAACATTAGATGTGATCGTTATCCCTCTATAATTATCAAGCGTTTCTAAATCGCCACATTTGTGCAAGGGTTTCAATAAGCCATATTTCCATTCATCTGGAATGGTTTCATACATTTTAATAAGGGTAAAGAAATCTAATAATGGTTTGATTAAAGTATCTTTAGAATATTTAATGAATTCATTTGGTATTTGGTCTACACCCGTTGCTTTACCATTGCTAAGATTGGAGATGACACCTTGAATATCTGCATACTCAATTGAAATATCTGATATTGCATTACTTGATATGTCATTATTTGCTTCTAGAGCTTTGATTTTTGCAGCCAGATCTTTATTCTGGGTTTGGGGATTTCTACTTTTAGATCCCAATGAACTCCAATACTCTTTAAGTTTAACTTGGACAATCTTAGGGTCAGTAATGATCAAATCAGGATTATCAGGGTCTTTAATTTGGATGGGGAAATTACTTTTAGCATTAAATCTTTTGAGGGTTTTCCAGAAGCTTTTTGATGTTCCAGACTTACTTTTAGCATTTTGGGTAATGATTTTGATGTGATTTTGAATATATTTTTCTTGAATTTTTTTGGAAACCTGCCTTTTAAGATCAATATATCTATCCCAAAGTTCCTGTAAAACATTCGGATCAGCTGATTTTGATTTTGACCAGTAACGGAAAAAGCGACACGCCTCTTTCCTATTTTTGATAAGTTGTTTAATATCATTGTCCCAAAAACTACGACAATCATTAGAAATAATCTTAATTCCAACTGATGCTTTTCCTGCCTTGATTATTCTAGTTTTTATTGAATCCCACATACTTTCAACATCAACAAATGAACTCTTATCCCAGTCAAGGAATTCAGACTCAATAGTTCTCAAAAAACATCTCCAATCAGTTGTGTCATTGATATTCCATTTACTATAGGTGGGACGTTCAAAATTTGGGGGGTTATCCTGTTTCGATCTTTGTGGATCATGGGAGATATAAATACATAGTACATTATGGTCGCTGCCAATAGAATACTTGCCATCTTCATCTACCAACATATGTTCAAACAAGGGTAAGAATTTAGAATTAGCAATGGCATAATCGATAGTTGAACTGTGTTCATTGCGTGACCAAGTTATACTACCTTCACATTTATCAGATAGGTTTAAGATATGTGATTGTGAACTTTTACAGAAATCCTCTAATAGGTCGCCATTAGGACTTTTAGTACCATCTTTTCTGAATGATTTTATTTTCCCATTGAAATCACCCATGATTATGTATTTATCGTTCGGCTTTAGAGAGGAAGTGTTTGAGAGAAGTTCATCAAACAGGTCTTCAGTGAGTACTGGCTCTTTGCCGTCACATGGAAAATAGACAACACATATATAAAACACAAGTGAACATTTTTTAACCTTCAACCAGTACCTTTCAAATTCATCATCTTTCGAATTAAAAACATTATCATCTATGGTAGCAATATCGTTTTTTACAAATAAACCTATACCACCACCTTGTTTACCCTTCCTGTTTTTACCATTCCATGAATATTCAGAGTTTATTATTGATAATGGTTGATTGGTATCATTTAAGAATGTTTCTGAAATGGCATAAATATCAAATTGCTCCTTATCGAGAAGTGATTGAAGCTCAATTTGCTTTGAGAGGCCCAACCTCTGGACATTGTTAAAGCATAACTTAAGGTAGCATTTTGAGGTTTTTGTTTTATGTCCACGTCTATGCTTTCTTTTAGAATGTATTTTATTACAGTTTTTCATTCTGTGATGAAGTTCAGTGTCTGGGGGTAAGGCTGACACATAGCCATCGACCTATTGTGTGGTTATAGAGGATGATTTCTTAGTACACCTGGATTCCTTGTGCCCCAGGGAATTACATCCATAGCAACGCACTGAAGAAGGATGCCAACATGTTGAAGCCAGGTGTGAGGTTTCGCCGCATTTAAAGCAGGCAGGCTTATTGTTTGTGTCATTTTGGGGTGATACACTTGAGCTTGTCCGGTTGGCTGGGTGCCGTCTAGCATTTTTTCTGTTCACAGTTTGCCATTCCGCATTATTGTCATTGTTCGAGGAATTGGTGACCTTGGCATGAGTATTGGTGTGACGTTTATTGTGTTGAAAGGATTTTGTGATGTCATTACAGTGGTTTGGCTTGGCTTTCAACTTCATATTCTTTGCCAAGCTGTTTGACCCTGCTTTAGAGAGATGCAGACCATGGGAGTCTAAAAATCCTGTATTAATGGCATTGTTCTGTAGGCGAAAGGTTTCATCATTATTAATGAAGGTCAGCTTGGTGTCATTCTGGCATAGATCATTGAGTTCGGCATTGACTCCTTCAATCAACTCCTGAACCTCAGGTTTGTCCGTTCTTGGACAAATACTGGACACGCAGATGTCATCGCAGAGGTTCTTTGCTCCAGTGAGTAAGGTGCTATATTCATCTGTGATGCCTTTTACAGTGGCATCTTTCTGCGAGGCATCGTTGCTGGCCATCTGTATTACAATGCGACTATATGATTGGTCAAGTTCAGTGAGTCTCTTGTGGGCATCTTTGATCTTTCCACCCCTTATACATTCAATATCCGTATGAAGTAATTTACTGCTGTCAATGTCTCTAATGATTGAGCTTCCTATAACAAGTGTTTTCGGATCGTTAACGCTTGTTGAGGATTGTTCTTTGCATGCTATGAGCTGTTTTCGTAAGTGGGTGTTCTCATCATCCAGCTCTTTGTAGGCCATAGTTTTGGCAGCAAGCTGTTTTACGAGATCTGTATTTGTACTTTGAAAAGCATGTAGATCCGTCTGGATGCACTCAATATTAGATTTTAGAGTGTCTATTGAGGCCTTCATATCAGATACTATTGAAACTAATACATCAAATTGGGAATTGGGATTGTCCATATTGGCGCTAGGCATTTTTTTCTTAGCAACCTTACGTTTAGGCTTTGATTTTGCAAGAGGAAGTTGGGCAGATTTCAAGCGTGATCTGAGGGAGCGTGTACTGCTAGGGGTGCAACGAGGCAGTTCAGATCGTGGGCGAAGTCGAGTCTTTATACGTGTAACACTACTGTTCGAAGAGTCTACTGTGTTATTTGGGGAGACCATGCTAAGATCTTGAGAGAGCCCCTTTGGTGTTGTTGGTAAACATTGATCAGCTGATTGTTCGTTGCCTGGAGAAGGGGCCAATAACAAGTTCAAGTCACACGTATCAGGCATGCTACAAGGTGTTAACGAGCTTTCCATGCTCATAATAAGATCAGTGTTCTGGAGACTGGGCTTAATAAGCCTCCTTGGTTGTATCCAAGTTGTAAGTCAGCCAATTTATAAAGAGGTCCCTCACTGCTTATAAAGAAACTAAAAAATCTCCACAACTTTTGTGAAACTTTATCTGCTAAAATATCTAAATCCAAAATAAATTGCAGCATGAAATATATGTCATTTTGATCCCTGGTTGTTCTCAAATGTAATGATAACAATTAATCCAAGATTGCACTGCAACTTCTGCATAAAAATCACAATATTCCGGGAGAGACTTTATATGTGTGTTCTCTGTTCAACTCACTATAATTGATATATGAAACAATAACAAAATATGGAAGTGAATAAAAATTCAGTTTTCGGGGTTATTTAGATATTTCAAAAACCATAAAAAAAGAAACCATAAAAAATTTGGTTTTATTTATTGTTCATCAGTGATTTTTGCTCTACATTTACACAGGATTACCCATAAGAAAAAAATAAGTTTTTAAAGTTTTTTTTTAGTTCCAAATCTTCACCCCCTGATTTCTCAATATCACCTAAAATGCATTTGTAACAATGTGGAAATAATGGGACGTTATGTTGATCAATAAACACAGTTTCTACAATATTATAATGATACATACCTTTACTTTTATTTTCCATTTAAAATTACATGATCTTTTAAGAGTCTATAAGCACATGAGCTGATCTATTTGTTTTGTGATCAAACATAAGATGTTATTGCATCACACCGGAATAGCCTGACAATGGCGGACATAACTCTCACTTCAATTAGATTTTCATGAACTGTATGTTTAATAGAGGACCTAGACTAAATTCCTTTGGAACAACAATCAATCAAAGTGTCTTTATACTCATTGTACAATTAATAATGTTCTACCATCGAATTAAAGTCTTTAATTTAACCGATCAAATGAGATACAGGACGACGGACACTAAATCACCATATGCCGTTGTCTTTGTACATTATTTCAAATTCAGATTCCGTTGTCATTGACGATACTGAAGATTCTATATTGTGGCAATTCACGACCCAATTTGAACGAAATTGGGATTTCATAAGATACATCATCACAAGAGCTTAATACATGCACAGAATAAGCGACGATAAAGTCTCATGAAACAAGAACCAAGTGATTGAAGAGTTGAAGCGACGGTTGTGTTCGCCATTTGTGACAACGGTATCTGAAAGACCGTTGACAACGGTATCCGAAAGACCGTTGTCAGGCTATTCCGGTGTGTGCATATCAGTTCTCCAATTTCTTCTTCATTAGAAAGATTCTTGTTTCTAGTTATCAGATTTTCAAAACAGACCAGTCAGCCATATCTATTGATCAAATGTTCAATTCTGTCATTTCAGAGATAATTTATAATACATTGTAGGACCACTTTAGCCTCATGCTAGACTTCTCTTCAAGCTCATAAAACAAGGTAAAAGGACACAGTTAGTGAAGATGCTATTCCTCTACTCTCAAACATACCTGTATATTGACAAAGACTCCATGATATGTTTCATAGAGTGTTTTGTTTCCCTTGGCCTTCAAGGGGACTTCAAAAGGAATCTCTGTCTTTCCTGCTGGTAGTTTACCTGGTTTAGCAACCTCAAGTGTGTAGCTTAGCAGCTGAATTGGCTGAAATAACAATCAAAAGAACATATATAAATGTGTAAATTCAACACTTTGCCAAAAATATGAAAAAATTGTGTCAAATCTTTAATATCAAAACGCGTATTTTATGCGCACACGTAATTTTTATGGTAATACCTTTCTAATGTGCTTAAAATGTTCAAATGTGTTTCATCATATAAAATCACCATGGAAAGCCGAAGATTAACAGATTAAAGAAAATAGTATGATCAATAGAAACATGTCCGTTATCAATGATACAACTAACTCTAATGTCTGCAACCTTTTTTATAACACTAATTCGCAAACCCCTCTCAACAAAGGTCAATGTGACATTTTGTGGTAAATTGTTAATTTCCTTTCAAAATAATTAAATGTGCCTAAAAGCTTTATTTCCTAAAATAATAATCTATTATCTTTCAAATGAAATAAAAATTAGGGTAATTGCTTTCCTAGAACTGAAGTTATGTACTTTCGAAGATAGCAGATATCACGAAAACTCATTGAAATCAATGGAACACATAAACTGAATAATCAACAATTCATATTTCAAGAAGTACTACAAATAACAATAACAATTAGTGATTTAGTAAGATAATAGATAAATGCTGACTTATTATTGTTTCAATATAATTTCGGTCCTTGATTTTCGCTAGCAACCACATCGCAACGGAATATAAATTGAATTGGTGAAATTGAAAAATCGGGGGTAGGGGAAAATAAAAAACTACATCGTAAATTGGGAGAGGTTTATGATTATAATTCTGGTACCACAGTTTACATAAGCATTACGGAACATGCACAAAAACTAACTAAAATCGATTTTCATGATATAAAGCATGTTGGAAAGAGAATTCAATCTGTTAAATGAGTACTATCTACCAAACACATAATGATTAATTTGCATTTTATACAGTATTAGAAACAATGTGACTATCAATATTTTACGAATTTAATTTTTATTGGCTTAAACTTCTGACTATCATAACTTTGCCCCTCTTTTACACCAAAAAGTGCCATTTATCTGTGGCTGAAGCTAGAAAATAACAGAGGCACAAAAAAACTTGCAAAGAGTACTATTGAAAAATGGAACATAATACATGGTGTCCAAAAACATTTCTTTAGTATGCTCGAGATCACAAACTTGGCATTTTATTAACAATGAGGAAATATGACTAAAGAACATAGGGAAATTAATAAGCTTCTTTATTCTAGCTTTTCAACACTACGCATTGGCGTTTTGGCGTACATTGTTCCTCGTCACTGAGTTTTGTAAAATGTTTTTTTCACAGTACAGTAAATATATAGTGAAATTATTAAAGAAAAAATAGTACCGTGGGTACTGGGCTCACATTGTGTTGCTCAAAAGTGAAAGATGGCTAAAATGACAGAAAATAAAAAAAAAAACGATATAATTTTTTGCTTATTTTTTGTAACAAAATTATTTCAAGCCACTTGCCACTATTTGGACTGACTGAGAGACAGATGGACAAATCAATGTTAAGTAAAATGGCTGAAAAAAAAATGGATATAATTTTTTGCCAATTATTTGAAACAAAATTATTTCATACAACTAGTCTTTACAGTGAGATGGCTTTTTGCAATGCAGGACACCTGAAATTATTTGTAAAGCTAAGAAGTGGGCCAAAATTGAATTTCGCAAGACAAAAATGGCAACCATTTTGAAAATAGGCAAGCTTTTGAACCAGGAGTCATAGGGGAGTTTTTGTATTGATGTTGAACAAAAATGAGTTGAAACTGGAATCCTATCGACAGAGGTTTTAAGGCAAATGGTCCAAAAGAGGATTTCGCGAGACAGATGCTCAATCAATGTTAACTAAAATGGCTGAAAATAAAATAAAAAATGGATATAATTTTTTGCTGATTTTTCGTAACAAAGTTATTTCATACATCTACTCTTGACATTGACATGGATTTTTACAATGTAGGACACTTGAAATTATTTGTAAAGCTAGGAAATGGTCAAAAGTGAATTTTGCGAGACAAAAATGGCGGCCATTTTGAGAATAGGCGGCCATTTTGAACCAGGAGTCATAAGGGAGTTTTCTGTATTGATGTTGAACAGAAATAACTTAAAACAGGAATCCTATCGACAGAGGTTTTAAAACGTGCCACTGTTGTTGACGGAAAAGTGGATTTCGCAAGTCAGATGGACAAATCAATGTTAACTAAAATGGCTGAAAATAAAAAAATGGATATAATTTTTCCCTGATTTTTTGTAACAAAATTATTTCATATATCTACTCTTTACATTGACATGGATTTCTACAATGTAGGACACCTGAAATTATTTTTAAAGCTAGGAAATTGGTCAAAAGTGAATTTTGTGAGACAAAAATGACGTCCATTTTGAAAATAGTCGAACTTTTGAACCAGGAGTCATAGGGGAGTTTTTCTTTATTGATGTTGAACAGAAATAACTAAAACAGGAATACTATCAACAGAGGTTTTAAAACGTGCCACTATTGTTGACAGACGGATGGATGGACGGACGGACAGACAGACGGACAAGTGAGTGATTGCAAAAGCTCACCATGTGAGCTAATAATAAAGAAAAGAAACGAAGAAGAAATTCAGTTATTACTAGTTTCATTTTAAACTAGTACAAGTATATTAGGGTACTTTGGCCTTGTACATTCAAGCAATATATTGCCTGTGCTGTATCATGCTATCACATTACAAATGTACATAGTAATAAAAATACATTTCTAATACAAATACTAGATACTCAAGGACCCTGTATATTATTATTGCGACAATGAGAATTGGAAGCCATTATTCAACTGGATACTTCGTTGCCTGCAGTGGAACAATTTGGTAAATATACTTCTATAAGGTTCTCTTTGGACCAAGTATTTCATTGGAAGATGGTCAATACGAATATTATGGCAGTATTCAAGCTTTTTTGGTAGTTCTAGTTATCAAATCTGGAAGATCTACACAGTGCCGTTTTTCATCTGTAAATTAATGTACGATGTACGACTTATGACACTAGTTGCATGATATATGCCTGAGTGATTGATGTGATATCAATGATTGTTTGTTTTGCTAGTTGGTTGGTATATTGGTAGATAAGTTGGTTGCTTGGTTGGTAGGTTTTTTGGTTGGATGGCTGGTATTAACAGTCCATTTTTGTTGATAATGTTATTTCTAAAAGAATTTCTTAGCTGACATAACATGGGTGAGCTACTAAAATCATTTGTCTGTAGGAAGGTTGGTTAGTCAGTCAATCCATCCAACAATCTGTCTGTCCATCAGTCTGTAAATACATTGGTGGCACATGACAAATGGTTTCAGTTTTAAAATGAATCTATTGAAGTCATCAATTGTTCCAAAAGTGGCATCTCAAAAGCACATCTCATTTCAAAATGGCCACCATTTTAATATAATATGTATTTATTGTATTTCATGTATTTATTCATGAAAAATGTGCCACTTATTTTGACAAGATAGACATATTGACAGACAAAAGAATGATTGCAGTAGCTAACCAAGTGAACTAAAACAAACAAATGGTTACAAGTTTTTCCTATATAGAGATATCAAAATTTTGATGGATTGGAATTTTCACTTTTGCTTAAAATTGTGTTTTAGGAGAAGCGAAACTGTTTTACAATCTGCAGGATGTCTCTGATTTCCTCATCATTATCTGAGGTTCACAAAACAGCCTTAAGAGTATGTCGTGTTGACTTAGAAGATGACCTAGCTGTTGAGCACATCATGACCAGGTTTAGGCAGAGAGGTATCATCACTCTAACAATGCAGGATAACATACTGGCAGAACGTACACCAACCATGAAATGTAGGACATTTCTAGACATGCTTGAGACAAGAGGAAAAGATGCATTTGTGGTTTTTATCACAGCATTGAAAGAAGCAAAATATACACACCTTGCAGAGCGTCTCGAAAAGGAAGTAGCTTTACAGTCCTTAGCCCTTGCTGTCAACAGCCTCAGAATAGCTACTGAAAATGTCAACACACTGCACACTATGATATCTAAAGAGCATAATGTTGCCATTTGTTCCTCTATGGACGAAGTCCAATCTTTACTTACAAGGTTACAGAAAACCCTAATCCTAAAGGAATTATCTGAACCTTGCCTTACCCTTAAATGCAAAATAGAACTAAGCCACAGCTGTATGGGATTGTGTGAAAGTCCAAATGGAGAAATAGTTATTGTTGAACACGAGCAGGGCATCATAGTATACAACAAGGACTTAACATTTAAAATGAAGTTTGCTGTGTCTATGCCAACAGATGCTGAATGCCTTCCCACTGGCGAGATCCTTGTATCATCTCGTTATAATAATTGTGTGAAGAAGTTTGACAATGATGGCCAATACATCAGGGATATATGTGGAGAGATCAATGAGCCACACGCAATGTCCTACAGTCAACAAGTTGGCCTTGTCGTAATTGGAAGCAAACCTGAGTGCATCTACATATGCAAGGCTACTGGGGAGATAACAAGAACAATCAAAAAGAACAATTCAGCTTTCTATACAGAGTTTGTATTAACCCACATAAGAAAGAAATCCTTGTATCAGATTTGTTCACCAGCACTCTCCACTGCCTCGACAAAGATGGCGATACTGTCTGCACCTACAACGGCAAAGGTGATAATAAGGCAAAGACAAAAATTCAGTTCCTGGTCACCAGGGTTATAATTCTAAAACAGCCAGCCAGGTTAACATTTGTTCTTCATTTTCAAAATTTCAATATTTGTTGAAAAATCATATTTTTAAAAACGATGGGCTATGGGATGGATTGATAAATTACATAGAGACAGAGACCTGAAGTATGTGTTTTTCCCATAAAATGTACATGTATTTGAATTCATACTGCATGAAGATTTTGTTGATAATGTAATATCAATTAGAAGTCCTGGTGAATAGGAATAGGAATTTTGTCCCTGACCAAAAAATAACTAGACAAGTTAAAGGCAGAATCTGATCTATAGGGGGTGACAAAATTACAAGCAACATGTATAATTGACCTACCAATCTATTCCTTACGATATCATATACAATATCTCCCAAAAGATTCACAATATGTTCTAAATTGGTGAAGTTATAATGATTCAAAGTGCAAAAATGAGTGAAAAATGTTTAAATTCTCCCAAATAATAAGAATGGTAACCATTCTTATAGAAAAATAATACATTATTGTAAAAATCTTTAGTTTTCCTGGAATAAAGTATGCACTTTTGTGATTTTTAGAAAATAGGCATGACAAGGAATGACATGAGCCAAAAATATTTTAAAATTGAAACAATTTTTTGTTTAGCCTGCTCGCTATCTCTGATTCTCTCTTTAAGATTTCAGATCTTTAAACAGGAGTTATACCAAAAACTAAAATATAACCTAAACTTTGGGAATTTCAATATGAGATTAAAGATATCAACCTTTGAAGAGTCTAGACTTTTCTGTATTCTCTTAACAAAATTAAACATAAATTCAGTGAATTAACTAATTGCTAGCATCTAAGTTATTGTATTTACACGGTAGGGTGATCTCCCCAGCAATTTTTGCCTAGCCAACGCACCCTGCTGAACCTTTTAGACCACCATACCGGCACCCGAGTAAAGTTAAGAACATTGGTACGCACAACATTATGGATTATCACTTTCAAATGTAGAGTGTCCATTTAAAAAAGACAAATTTACCAGAATGTTTATATTAACATTGTGTTATGACGTAGATGTGAGAAACAGATATGGTGAATAAGTTGCGCAAATATCCCAGGTCAAAATAATAGCATACATATTCAGGGTAATCATTAGCTAATGATTATGAAACAAATAGGTAACAAATAGTATAGCAATTTGACATGCAAATGAGATAATCATTCAGGGTAATCATTAGCTAATGATTGTGAATTTAATGAAACACTGATTTCTTTCTTCGTTAATCATTCAGTAATCATTCAGTAATTATTCAGAAACACATAGTTAATTATTCAGAAACAAATCAATAATTATTCAGAAACAAATCGGTAATTATTCAGAAAGAAACCGTTAATTATTTAGAAACAAATCGTTAATTATTCAGTAATTATTCAGGTTATCTGACTCATTTTCTTCTTCATCAAGACCCTGTTGCCTCTCCTGGAGCTGTCTTGTATTATTCTGACTAATACATGCTCATATAGAGGTGACATATACTCCAAATTAATTTATATTTATTATCTGCTCAGAAACCTAGGGCTAAAATGAGTGTTTGTGCCTAATCATGTATGGGGAACAACCCAAAATTGATCAAATTCAAAAAAAATATCTTGAATTCAAATTCATTAGAATAGTAGAGATAAATATGAATAAGTTTCAATCTAAACATGTTCTACATACCTTTATGATTATGTTGATCAAGTTTCAAGATAGTCTAGCCACCCTTCAGGTTGTTTATGCTCACTTTTATTAGACAAATAATTCTCTCACATCTTAACCAAATTTTAACGTCTGCCAATGTGGGGTTTCTCATTCTAAATCATGGACTTTTAGGTAATCATTCAGAAACAAATCGTTAATCACTCAGTAACAATTCGGAATAAAAAATTCCAAGTTAATCATTCAGAAACAAATCTTTAATTATTCAGTAACTATTCAGATTATTAATCATTCAGAGACAATTCAGTTAATTATTCAGAAACTAATCAGACGTTGCTTTTAAATTCTTCAGGTTTTCTGATTAATTCCTGAAGGATTCAATAATCATTAGCTAATGATTATGAAATGATTTTTGTGTGGGATATCAGCTGACCCAAAAAGTGAATCTCTTTTTGACAAGTATTTTCTCAGCAATTGATCACTCAAATTTATTGAAAACTGTTATAAAGTAGCCTGAGGGTATCTTTGGCAAGTTATACAAATATGAAGAGATCAGTTACATATTATGTGAGTATTAACAAATTCAAAAAATGCATGTACAAAATCCAATATCGATGGTAAATTCACTTATCACATATACTTATTGTGAATTCTGACACTTAACTCAGTTTTGAAATACTGTATTCTCTCTAATGAGTGTACAGTGTGGTTTCCAAATTGAAATTCAAAAGAGTCAGATATATAGAGATATAATAAGTGCACATACAAAAAAAAATAGAAAAACAAATACCCCCATTTTTTAAAATTATTATTAAGGTTTGCACACTCTACAGCCCTTGTATTTCTTTGATACCATACTCAACATAAAAGTCGCACGTGCACTCATTTGTAAATTTCAACAATTTCAACATTTCCTGTAATACAGGAGTGGTAAATTTTTCAGTGTTTTTTCAGCACCCAGTTGAAATAGGTTTCTGGTGAGATCACTAATGTGTATATATACAGTATATGTATATATTTGCACAGTTGTACTAAATATAATAATATTTTCCCCTTAACTTTAGGTGATGACAGGCTAAATGGTCACGTTGGAATATTTGTGATGGAGGAGTATATCTTGCTGACTGATACAGAGAACCATAGAGTGTTGCTGCTAAGTCATGGAGGTGACTTGATCAAGTATCTACTGACCAGGGAGGAGCATGGATTTCTCTCCCCTACTGAGGTCATGGTAGATAGTACTGGCAACATTTTAGTGGGTGAGAGCCATATGGCCATAACAGGCAGGAATCTTCTGCATGTCTTCAAGGTAGATGAGTGATATGAACATCACGATATGTTGCTAGTGCTTGGTGCATTGGACAAGGTTCACCATTTTTCTATATAATTTGTAGAATTTCTGGAAAATTGAATGCAATGAATTTCAAATGATTGCTTGATACAATACTTGATATTCATATATTTGTAGATATAGTAGTATATAATGATGGTACTCTTACAGTGGTACTCTCCACATCATACTTACAAAGTTCACTAACAAAATATTTTAAGTGCTGTAGGTTTTAAGTAATATCTGTGTTTTCAATAACGCCATCCAAGCATTGGAAAATGCAAAGAAAAATGTTGGACCCAGAAATAAAAATGAAATGCATTTTTTGGACGCAGTTCAAGTCCAGTGCATGCTTTCAGTAGGTTTGTCCAAGAGTGCGTCCCTGGGACGGATTGATTTTCAAAAGGTGAGTCTCCCCTCAAGAAAGTGCGTCCCATGAAAAAAGGTTGAATTCAAATTTTTTTGAAAATCAGACGCAGTCTTAGACAAACCTACTGAAAACATTGAATATATTTTATGCATTTCTACCCCACATTAGCAAGAAATTTGTATGATTTCCTAGAGAATATATACACAAAAATGGGTTCAGCTGAATAATTAATTCATATGTATTAAAAGGTCAATTCAAGCTGTCATGAGATCCATATGAGCGTAATCTAACAGATGATCAGATGTATACATAGTAAAACCTGTCTTAGCGAACCCTTCTCTCTAGTGGACACCTTTGTCAAGTGAACTCCTTTTCTCAGCAAATACTCTACTGACTTCTGTTAGTGTTGCCACGATGAATCGATACATTGCGATATACATCGCCCTTTCTTATCTTATTTTGAAGCAAATGTCTTACCTTTCTCATGTCTTAGTTCATTTTCCAATGTTCTCTGATATTCTTTCACTTTAAAACTGTTTTAGCTAGTCGAAATGAACTATTTATCTAAAAAAATTTACTACTTTGACTTCACCGTAACTGGAAGTACTCGGATGTACCAGCGTACTATTATTAATTTGTTCTGTTCGGAATTTTAGTGCATAAGCGTTCGGTATTTCAGGGCACTTTTCCACCCTATGCAGACAGAGCCTGTGGGAAATATTGGGTGCGGCGCAAATGAGCGGAGGGTGCGGAGCTAACGGTCATTTTTGAATTTAAATATGGGATATTTCTGAAACTAAGCCGTTTTGGGACTTCAAATATACCAAGATATGTGTATTTGACACCAAATATCAATAAAATTGTGAAAATAGTAGTGCAATTCATTTTATAGCGACGCAGTATGCCTTAAACATTTCCCAGACCTATATATTTTGAGACTATCCTTTTAATACTGCATCCCCAGCATTCATAAAAAATGGTGTTCAAGATACACTACCCACGCAAATTATTTTTGCATCTTGGAAGCCAGGCAGTATCTGTGTGATTTTATAAAAATTCGGAAATGTTCTTCAGATATGAGCCCCCTCTAAATATTGGGTGTGGAGGTACGTTTATGGAGCTCCTCCGCACCCAATATTTAGAGGGGGCTCATATCTGAAAAACATTTCCGAATTTTTATAAAATCACACAGATACTGCCTGGCTTCCAAGATGCAAAAATAATTTGTATAGATAGTGTACCTTGAACAGGGGGCTCATATCTGAAAAACATTTCCGAATTTTTATAAAATCACACAGATACTGCCTGGCTTCCAAGATGCAAAAATAATTTGTATAGATAGTGTACCTTGAACACCATTTTTTATGAATGCTGGGGACTCAGTATTAAAAGGATAATTTCAAAATATATAGGTCTGGGAAAGGTTTAAGGCACACTGCGTCGCTATAGAATGAATTGCGCTACTATTTTCACAATTGTATTGATATTTGGTGTCAAATACACATATCTTGGTATATTTGAAGTCCCAAAACGGCTTAGTTTCAGAAATATCCCAAATTTAAATTCAAAAATGACCGTTAGCTCCGCACCCTCCGCTCATTTGCTCCGCACCAAATATTTCCCACAGGCTCTGTCTGCATAGGGTGTTTTCTCTGAGTTTTTTTTATGTACATCATGATGTGCATCGATGTTTACTACTGAAAATTGCCAGTGCATTGATGTACAATTATGGCACATCGCGACAACACTAACTTCTGGAAAAATTGCCTCTGCAAACACCTACCTTTAGTGAACACATTTTTTGTGGTTCTAAGTGTGTTCACTGTACAGAGGTTTTACTGTGTTATATATGTATCTGGTGCTATTTTTTGCATACGCTGTACTTAATTCTGTGCTTCATGAATTTTTTCGACAATTTCTAGTTTTATGGTATTTTATGAAAAAGAAAAAATATATGGGAAAGAGAAATTTTCAATTTTGTACAAAGGCATGAACAGTACGTATGATCCATCTCTAAACAAAACACCTTTTTTAACTATTGTTTACTCTGCTTCATTGACTCAATAAAAATTGCTTGTGTGTTTATTTGATTATTTGATTTTAATGTTTGATCATTTTGATTTGGGATGGAAACTCAAAATTGGTAACCAAAGGGGTTAAATAATGTATCATCTCAAAGTTCAACAATTAGGCATTGAAATCGAAACATTAGCAAGTTATGACTCCAAAAGTGATTTTTGAGACAAAAGTGGTGACCATCTAGAATTTTGATACTTCATTGATACTACATATGAGAATATACATGAACCTTGCAAATCCAAGCAACAATTCCTGAGTCATAGCTGAAAAAGTGATTTGAATTGAAGTGAATTTTCTGTGACAAAAATAGTGGCCTTTTAAAAATAGGCAAGATTTTGAACCAGAACCCGGAGTCATAGGTTTTTTTCTAATGATATTAGAGAGGTTAAGAAACACTACTTTTTACAACATAAACCATGAACAGGGATGTGTGTGCAGGTTTTTCTCAGGATGTAACGTCATATTGTTCCACTTGTTTCCCAGTATAGGTTCATTGCAACGTAAGAAATCAAAGTCGAGGTAGGTGGTTCCACAAAGGATTTGTAGGACTTAATCAAGCTCATAGTAGAAAATAGAACATAAAGGCCGCTAGCAAAAAGAAAAAAATCATTTTGAGATTTCTCACTTTATATTAAGTCCTCGGCTTTACTCATTGGCGCGCTATTTAATTATTTTTAAAAGCTACCGAGCGTTAATTAATTTATTAAAGATTTGGATTTTCATGCCTGCCAATTTGAAAGTGACATAAAATCTAAACCAACAGAGATAACACCGCCAAATTTTTACTCATGATTAAAAACATATGTATAAATCATATGTCAATGTATGAACTCATCAGAATGAGAGGCACTGATGATAGAAAATCCTAAACATGTATATTGCAAAAAAAAAAAAAGACCCCTACGAAATATTACCTTGGTGTACCCCAGCAGCTTCCCTGGCCTGTCCCCCAGCCACAGAGTTGTCAGGCCCATCATCGTTTTGAAATTTCATTTTCTGAGGCTTCAAATATTAGGCTTCACTACCAAAATCATTGAATATAGTAGCGATTTGATCATCATTACCCAGTCTAAATGTAGACCTGGTTGCCATTTTTAAATACCACAATGTCTTATCACTTCAAGATTCGTATTTGTTTCGAAATAAATCGATAAGTGACACAAATATATTTTTTCAATCATTTCTCTTCGCCAAATTAATTTTAAATCACTTCCTGTCAATGTGAGTACCGAACATTGGCACTGCAATACTAGGGTGACATCTTTCTAAGTCTGTTAAAACTTCCCTATAGCTTATCGACCTGGAGTCAACATACGCCATGTAGCATATTGGCGACAAAACTCGCCTGAGCGCGCGAATGAGTTAAAGCACTTTTGTTCATAGAACATAAATGGGAACGTATAGGTTTACGTTTGCAGTTCAACTCATTAAAATTGTTTTGCTTAACCTCTCTAATAAACAAAAAAAACTTAAAACAGGAATCTTATTGACAGAGATTTTAAAATGTGGCACTATTCCTTCGAGTAGAGATCTTACGACCAGAAGGCCAAAACATGTGGACCAACCAACAGATAACTGGTATTTGCGTTATCAGAAAAAAATCATATTTTCCTGAGATATGGTGTTTTTTTAAATTTAGTACTCTTTCCCTAATAAGGCATCACCACATAAGAATCTGACAAATGGTAAATTATGTTTTCTACAAAATGAATAGACAGGTGGATTGACACCTTCTCTATATCCATACCAAACTCTGTCAGGAATAATAACATTCTTACCTTTAAGGAATTATAGAAAGCTTCAAATAGGCCCACACTTTTAGCACTGAGCTGAAGACTGACTGATCCATCGCATAAGAGAGTTATACCCTGGTGGTGTAGTGTATCTTTGCTGTGAACAACCACCACTCCGGAAACTACTTCCTACAAAATAGAAATATTTGATACATTAAGTTTATTCAATCTGTTCAATCAATCCACTCAACCAATTAGTTAAAACTAGAAAACGTTATCGGTGGGATAACAAGTAGAGCTCGGAACGGCATTGAAAAATGGTGCCGGTATTACCGCATCTTGAAACCGAACCGTTACCGATTAATCGCTGGTGTAGAAAAATAATCAAAAAAATTCTGAAAAAATGAACTTTTTAATTTTTTACAAACATTTTGCTATTTACCTCTTTAATTCCGCCTCTTACATCACCTTTGGGGAACCGAGTGTTGTATAACAGCTTCATAAGTATTTTCTTGTGTATATATAAATCGTATTCATGCTGATTACAATCAATAAACAAAATAAATGTCAACGTTTATTTTTACGTTCACATTCACAATAGATGGCGCGCTTATACCTTTGGCCTCGTTTTGAGTGGCGGCAAAATAACAAGTTCGGTTAAGTGTTTTTCAACTTTTATTGACTCTTACACTGAAATTACATGTAAATAATTAAATATTATACCGTATAAACACACACAATTAAAGAATGAATACACTGAATAGACATATACTAAAATAAATGCGACTTTTAGACGTTATTTGTGGTACCGATTGATGAAGTGTGAATCGCGAATTTCCCCGGGGATTTACCGTTTGATGTCAGTAATAAATTTCAATACCGGCATCCACCAATAACCTTACCTTTGCGGCATTACCGACAATACCTCCGAGCTCTAATAACAAGGCCATTCAAACTAGATAACGGCAACTCCGCGGAGTAGCAAATCCCAACGAACAAAATATCAATTACCGAATTCCAATCAATTATACTCATTACTTTGATTAAAATTGGAAAATTTAGATTTTAGAATTGCGAATTCCTGCAAAACAGCCATTTTGAATTTTCTGAGGTACAAATCTGAAAAATAATACCATAATTGTGATCTACTCCAAAATTCCTTCAATTTGAGTATAATATAGCCATACTTTGAAGGGATCGAAAAAGTATTGCGAAATCGTACATTAGACGGCCATTTTGAATTTTACGAGGCTCGAATCAGAAAAAAGATACAATATTTGCAATCTACTCTTAATTGCCTTTCATTTGAGTATAATAAAGCTATACTTGAGAAAGATCTAAGAATTAGCGAAAATCTCTGTTTTCCTGACCCCCCATATACGGCCCCTGGGGGTCAGGATGAAAAACACGGAATATATGTGAAAAAGATAGATGTTGTGAATATACTACCAAAATTTCAAACAATAATATTAATTACTTTGGTTTAGAATGAAAAATTTATGATTTTTGCGAAAAAGTCCCGTCATTTTTAAAGTGGCGGCCATCTTGAAAAAAATTTTTTTTGCGTAAAACTATTTATCAATATACATCTTTCCGACAAATATGAAGAAAATCGGTCAACTAATATTTGAGTTATCTTCCGGACAGACGGACGGACTGACTGACTGACTGACGGACGGACGGAGGGCTTCACTATATCCCTACAGAACTTCGTTCGTTGGGATAATAATCTTTCGTATTAATCTGCACAATCAAGAATGCACTCAGTTAATCCCCTCGACCAACCTACATCACCAATGCCTCAACCAATCTCATCAACCAATCTACTCAACCAACCAACACAACCAATCCACTAAATCAATCTACTCCACAAATCTGTTCAAGTAATCCACCAAACTAATCCCCTCAACCAGTCTAATACACTCAACCAATATCTACTCTACCATTGCCCTCTACAAATTTGATCCACCAATCAACAAAACCAATCCCTTCAACTGACCTACTAAGCCAATCCCCTCTTCTAACCTACTCAACCAATCTCCTCAACTAAACAACTCTACCAATCCCCCCCAAAAAAAACAATCTATTCTATCAATTCAAGAAAATTTGTGCCTTTTCAATTATCCAAATTTTCAGGCCCACAGCATTATGGGAAATAACATGTGCAGGCATAGCAATTTTTGAAAAATGTTTTTTCCACATGTACCTGAAGGAGGAGGGAAAATATCGCAACAGATTTCGAAAGTCATATGTTGGCTATTTTCTGAGGATTTAAAGAGGTACATATATTAGGCCAATGCTCTACCTCCAGGAAAAGCATTCATAGAGATGATAAAATAATTTTGACTTTGAGACAGTGAAGATGCAAATAACTCACCCACATGTTTTTCTGAAATGTTGTCCTGATTTAAAACCCCTTCCACCCCTGCTTTTTCAATTTTTGTTGCATCAATATGTTGCGTTTTGACACACAGTTAACCCCTTTAAAGGAACAAATAATTCCTTTTAGATAAAGTGGAAAACAATATTTCCCATGTTATTTTCCCGTAGGGAAAAACTCATGCGATCCATTGCTTTCAGCTTAATTTTGGTCACCCATAATAGATATCTTAAAAAACCCTGAAGAAATTACTTATTTCTTTACAGGGGTTAACTGTGTGTCAAAATGCAACATATTGATGCAAAAAATTGAAAAGCATGGGTGGAAGGGGTTGAAAATCAGGACAACATTTCACAAAAAACATGTGGGAGGGTTGTTTGCATCTTCGCCTTAAAGTTGAAATTATTTTATCATCTCTATGAGTGCTTTTCCTTGAAGTTATGCATTGGCCTAATATGCACCTGTTTAAATCCTCAGAAAATACCCCAAATCCCACATATGCGATATGTTCCCTCCTCCTTTTCAAAATTTGGGCCCTTGGGTAAAAATATTTTTTTCAGACTTGAAATTTGCTACCCCGTTGTCAGTTTTCAGATCTGCCGCTGGTTTTATTTTTCATGGAAGATAAAGCGTGATTTTGCACCCGGTTTTGAACAATTTTCTAACAACCTGAGGGCATGCTCGTCCAGAGAGCTGTGTCTCAATGACCCAGATACCTTGACATAAAAGGGAGTATGCTAAATTCAATACTCTGAATGGGAATCGAACCCAGGAGCCTCCACTCACAAGTCAGATGCTCTACCCATGAGACATAAGGGCTAAACACTGCAGCTGAGACTATGATAGCGACTTGCTATCAAGAGTCATTACATCATCCCCTGAAAGATAACGTCCCATCGTAACTGATCACAAGGGTAATCCCATGGCTGTCACCTCTGTAGCCACCTGAGGGGACACTCATCCGGGGCTGTACTGCAGCTCAGAGCTGTCAAGTGTCCCGCGAATAGCGGGATTATCCCGCGAATTTGATCAAAATTAGGCTAATTCGCGTGTCCCGCAATGTCCCGCGAAGTCCCGCAAATGTGGTTTTGACCTCCGCGAATTTCCGAAATTGTTGCAATCCCCTATATTGTGATTATCTTATATTATATAAGAAGCCAAGTTTTTGCACTTTTGAGGAGTAAAGTTTACCTAATTTTAAGTACCTAGCATGCTGTTGTTTGGTATCAAAATAAAGAGGAAGGGTTCAACTTTCATTAATTTTTAATTACGAAAATAGGGATGTAGGTCAAAAATAGTTCTAACGTTGGCCTTTTTACTATCCGTGTGGCCTTCATCTCAGAACTGAGCAAATGTTAGCAAACGCGAGTTACAATAAATGGACGCTGATATCTAGAAAGGGTTTGTAGAAAAACCGGGTACCGGATAGTAAATCCTCCATGCTGGGTTCAAACTTGGTACCCGGTACCCGGTCAAAAAACGGGTACCCAAAAAACGAAAAATACGAATATATAACATAATTAGATTATGAGAAAACGTGTAAGATTTGTTTTGAATTCACAAAAATGTATGTATCCTTCAAAATTGAGCTAGAAGCTTCAAATAAAAAGCATATTTAAGGCTCTTTTCTTCCTCTATCGTCATGGCCATATTTTCATTGGTTATGGGGGGGGGGGTGCACCATCGCACCATCTCCTGGCTACACCTATGACATTGTAAGACATAACAATTTACAATTCAGTGGACATTTTGTCGAAAATTGGGATAACTTAAATTATGATTAATAATCAAAATCATGTAAATTAACACACGTCACCTCCCTGCTAAAGCAACGATAGCTATTTACAGATTTAAATCATAATCAAAACAATTCACGTACCAACAAACGAACTATTGAAAATAGAGGAAGATTGATTTGTCTTGTTTTTGAAATCGTCTTACAATGTCATTGGCGTAGCCAGGAGGGGGTGCGATCGCACCCCCCCCCCCCCCTTCATTACCAATGGAAATATGACCATGATGATAGAGGACGAAAAGAGCCTTAAAATGCTTTTTCTTTGAAGCTTCTAGCTCAATTTTGAAGGAAGTTACATACATTTTTGTAAATTCAAAACAAATCTTACACGTTTTCTAATGATCTAATTATGTTGTATATTCGTATATTTCGTTTTTTGGGTACCCGGTTTTTTCGACCGGGTACCAAGTTTGAACCCAGCATGGAGGATTTACTACCCGGTACCCGTTTTTTTCTACAAACCCTATCTAGAAAAGTAACCCCATTCCCTATAATTTGATGTAGATTAATCGAACCCCTATATCATGGGCTTTCAATTGAAAGAAAATGCCTACAGTATATGAATAGGTACATTTTAATATATAACATTATGGGGGTAAGCGTTTCATAGTTGTTCACGACGCCAGAAGTGCAAAGTATTGTTCCGAATTTTTGAATTTCGTGTTAGATTACGGTACTCACACCTGAAGCATGAAGCATAAAGTTTAATAATATTCCTATACGTATTTTGTGAAATTGTGTTGACGTTTATTTAAGTTACAATACAACGGTGCATTGTATTTGATTAATCAGTATTTGGAAGTTTGATTTAAGTACTTTTACACGCTTCTACATTAGTCCCAATCACGCAAATCCTTGAATGTCCCGGGACATCCTGCAAATTTAGGTGAATGTCCCGCGAAATCCCGCAAATTTAGGGCACTTTGTCTAAAAAATCTGTCCCTCTATCAAGTTTTTGGCGTTAAACCTGTTAACTATCCCGCAATTAGGGTGTTTGTCCCTCGAACAGTCCCGCGAAATCCCGCGAATTTGAGAAAAAAAGTTGGCCTATTAGCGCAATCACGCAAATCCCTTAAATGTCCCGCGAAATCCCGCGAATTTAGTAGATGTCCCGCAAAATCCCGCGAATTTTGGGCACTGGGTCTAAAAAATCTGTCCCGCGAGAAAATCTTTAGGGGTTGACAGTACTGGCAGCTGTACTGTAACGAGCCAGACACTAGACATGAAAGGGAGTGTGCTAAATTAGAATCGAACCCAGGACCCTCACAAGTCAGGCTATCTACCCCTGACTCATAAGGGCTGGCGACTGTCGTAGTGACTTGCTATCGAGGGTCAAATTTTTAAAAACACAAATCTAAATGTGGGCGATAATATGTGAATATTGAAAATGTTATAATTGAGTTCGATTTTTGCAGTACATCTCTTCTTAAAATTACCAATTAAGGATATGTCAGCTAGCATAACTATATCTAGAAATCTGTAGAATGTATAAAAATTCATTGCTTACGCCTTCTCTGTATGTTTTGTTCACTTTCTTAAGAATAATATCTAAAGACGCCATCCCGGAAGTAATGTCACGTGACGCTTACATCAAAAACAAATGAATACAACAGTTTCAACGTTTACTGAATCATTTAAGTAGTATTTTGATCTGGATTTAGTTTTTTGTTTTCTGTATCACCTCTAATAATTCACAATTCCAACGTATAAATGACTTTCAGCTGTTAGAAAATAATACATGCTATAAGCTGTATTTTTTCAATTAGCTGTTACTATTTCCTCCTTCCAAAACATATATTACAAATTTATTACATTTATTACAAATATTCATCAATGCTTGTTATCGATTCTAGCCAGGTATTTTAAAATCAGTAACATTGAACTAGTTCTGTCACATACGTTTTGCATTTGTTTGAAAACACGCTAATAAATTTTGTAAAGTGATCAAAGATTCGCGACAGGAGTGAATGGAATAGCCTGTTGCTACAGCGTTGCTAAGTCACTTGAGCTCTAACTACAAGTGCACACACAAGTTGAAAAGTTTGTCACACTTTCAGTGTTTGAATGTTTAGTTACGGAAGAACACAGTAGTATTCAGTTACATACTACCGAGGAAGTAATATACAATTATAAACAACACAGTCAGAGTTAGGATACTGTATGGAGCTGCAATAAAACAAATATAAATAACAAAATAACAACTTTGAAAGTGTGAAATATCAAAACTTTGAAGTAAATAAAGTGCCTATAATAATGGCTCCAGCATCAGATTTGGGTCTTGATCATGAAACTGAGTTAGAAGTTTTATTGGCAAAGTTTCCAGAATTTAGTTGCATCTGCGAAATCTGTGATTGCGGGTAAGCAAAATGTTACTATTTTTAAAATCCATTAATTCCAAGATTATTTGAGGTTTCTGAAGAAATTAATTGAGTTAATATGATTAAATGAAATCAATAACCTTTAATACTCAAGAGTTTTTTCTGCCCTAATTCAGTATACCATGGGCTTTCTGTTGAATAGTGGTATTACTTTTATCAGAGACATATATGTATAAATGTAACATTATATGTTATTGTATGCCTCTGCCTTTATTAAATCTCTAAAATATGATTGTTACCCATGGAGCAAAATCGTTTAGCAACTCTGTGCATCTAATCCATAACCTAAGAAGTTTGTTCATCTCTAGTCAATGACTTATCCATTATTTATTTATTTTTTATATTTTTATTTACAAATTTATTAAATTTATTAAAATCATATAAAAATATGTACATAATATCGATAAAGACACCCTAAGGGGCGTATGGCTTGTCACAATCTTAAAATATTAAAACTGCATATTGTAATGTTGTTAATCTTATATGGGAAATTGTTTAATTCCTAAGGTACATTATGACATTTGATAATAAAACACCAACTTTGGGAGGATCAATGAATGAGATCAATTAATACCAAAGTCAACATCCCAAGAACATGCAATTAAACAATCTATAAATCTCTCTGGAAACAATTCAAATCTGTAAAGTCAACACTCTGTGTGATAGCTGGTCATTGATTCAGTAGAGTAAAGGAGATTGATGAGTTAAATGATTTTTATGTATTTATAGACGTTGCCTTAAGAATCACAAATGTAAAAAGAAGAGGAATGTTCAGAAGCGTGAGGCTCCCTTGGGGAAAACAGACTACCAGACCAAGTTTAGCCAGCCTGGTGTGCCCCGTCCTAGATCGACTAAGAGACCCCCTCCTACTCCTCGAGAGGTTATACTGCCCCCTATGATGTTTGATACAAATCAACGTAGTGAGTTTAAAGGTCACAAAGATGTTCCTAGAGTAAAGCCATTCATCTTGGTAAGTGTTCGAATGCAACTATGTGCATGTAGTCAATTTACCCATTACCCCTAGTTGTGTATTAAAACTCTCATCAACTCAGTCAACTTAGTATTATGGTTACAACCAATAAGTCACAATTGACACATCCTACCCCAAAGGTTTTATTCACATTCTTTATCTCATTTGACAATCATGAATTACATTTGACCTCATTTATTTCAGTCTGATAACTATGAGACTCCTTCTGACCCAATAGATGGCACTACCTACTATATGAAAGAATTTCCTGGAAAAATGCCTCAGGATAATGTCAAAGTAAAGATTAATACAGATTCGACCAGTCGCTACATGCGTGATTCTAGTGCGAAGTTTGATGGAAGAACAACCAATAAAGAAGAGTTTAAAAAGTATACCCCACAACAGAATCTAAGTTTTAAGGAGCTTCCAAGTTTTGCTGGTTCTATCTTATACCCAGAGAAGCCAACAGAAATACAGAGTAACAATCAGGCATCTTATCCAGGATTTTATTTGCCAAGGAGGAGTGAAATTAGACAAACTTCTGGAAACATTAGAATTGAAGGTACGTGGGAACTGTACAGTATACAATTTATAAATGCAGCACAACCACTTTGGTTGTGACAGTAGAATCAGTACAAAGAAGCACAATCATTTGGTTGTGACAGTACAATCAGTGCAAAGAAGCACAATCATTTGGTTGTGACACTACAATCAATACAAAGAAGCACAATCATTTGGTTGTGACAGTACAATCAGTGCAAAGAAGCACAATCATTTGGTTGTGACAATACAATCAGTGCAAAGAAGCACAATCATTTGGTTGTGACAATACAATCAGTGCAAAGAAGCACAATCATTTGGTTGTGACAGTACAATCAGTGCAAAGGAACACAATCATTTGGTTGTGACAGTACAATCAGTACAAAGGAGCACAATCATTTGGTTGTTGCTACATCTGGCATTAACCAAGTCAAAGAAGAAGCAACCAGTACAATAATACATGTACATCATTGGAATAAATGACATCTCAACTGAGTAACTAGTAATACACAATTTTCATATTTTAAAACAAATGTAACAATCTTCAATCTGTTTTTCAGGTGATATGCATATGGAAACTACAAACAGAGACATCTTTAGGGGAGCCCCAGGATCCAGGGCAAAGTTGATAGTGCATAAACCAGAAATGGGTCGAAACAATGTTAAACGTGGAAAGTTTGATGCGCAGACCCAAATGAAGAGTGACTTTCAGATGAGAGGAGGTGAACCAGCTGATGCAGCTAAACCAGCACCTGAAACGATAAGACTTCGCTTCAATGATAAGTAAGTAGATGAAAAACATAATGTATATAAGTTCATGATCAGCTGGATTTATGGGAAATAATTGAAAGAAGCCCTTAAAATATAGCAATATAATATTTGAAGAAACTACAGCTGTATTTGGTAAATAGACGGAAAAATAGATGGTAGCACTTGTGTTATGGTAAAGCCAGAATACATTGAGATATAGAATAAAAAATAAAAAAAATTGAGATATATGGCAAGAGTCGAGTTTTCACTGCAATTAATACAACTTTAAATTCGGTGTTCCTATTGGATATAATTTTCTTAAATCATTACGTCATTGTTTTGCAGTCACACATTTTCAACAGAACAGCGAACCATGTTTAAAGGTGTAGATGTTGGGAACCATCCACCAGCTGAACAGATTAAACTGGTTGACAACTATGAGCCATCAACTGACCCAATGGAGACCAGAACTAATAACATGGTATTTGCATTTATTTTTTGCCTTTCTATGTCACCACCAGAAAGTGGTGACATATTGTTATAGTCTCCATCTTTTTTGTGATTAGTGGTTGGTGTTTGACATTTGGTGGCTGGTGTTCGGCATCTGAAACAAATTTCACGTGGTGACATTTTGCATGTTAATAACTTGTATTTGCATCCTATTTTATGTCAATTTTGAGATAGCTCAGTTCATTTCAATTTTTGTCAATAAAAACAATGCAATTTGTGGCAGTATCTAAAAATGGAATGGTCAGATCCTACAGCTCATGAGCTATTATGCTCTTACTTAGTTGTACAGTTATATAGTAATAGAAACTGTTGTTCAAACTATATAGAGCTGATTGTTCTCCCACATACTTGGTTGTACTGATTGTACTCACATATTCTGAGTTGTGCTAACTTTGCTATTCCAATATTTTCAGATGGATTACAAACCTGTTGACCTCAAGGCTGCACACAATCCGAGAGTCTCAATGCCAGCAAGTAAATCAACAGAGCACAAACCGAAATTTGATGGTCAAACTATGAATAATATCATGTTCAAAGACCCAAAGGTGAAACAACGAGTGCGTTATGTTGACTTCCATGAGGGACACACATACGTGCCACCAAGTGATAAATTCAATGGGCATTCCACCACCAAGTCTACTTTTGTTCCACTGAAGGCTGACCCAGTGATTAATTACAAACCTGATCAGAAACCGATTGTCCGTGAGGGATCAGTAGACTATAACACAGTACACAAGAGTACATACAAGGGACAAAAAGTTCAACTTTGCAAGTCTAAGATATACTTGCTGCAGCAGGAACTTAAACGAAGGGAAGCTTTAGAAAAAGCAAATAAGTCAAATAAAGCAAATTCACGTCAGGTATCAGTATCATAATTAAGTTCTGTAATACATCCATATAAACCATGACATAATGAAATAGCATTTTACAAATGTGTTTTCACATGTACTCTGTCACTTGATAGAATAGGGACTATTTTTAAACAGATCTTATGTTGCAATATAGTATTATAGTATTATTGTACATTATTTTATCCTCTCATTCTAAATATCATCATTCAACATTCTGAACATTATACTATTAAAATAAAAATGCCAAATGACTGTACAAAAATGAGACATCCTGCACTGTACAATTGACATGTGCGTTTTATTGATAAGTGCTTATGTATAATAGTGCCTAAATTGCCTGTATCATACAATTTCTATATATATCTACATAAACGTTTACTTTGCATGATAACCACTGTGCCTTCAAAATGCCATAAATGAGCTTTGGTGTAAAACCATCTTTGGTTCTTTTTGTAAATAAGCCTAGCATTTAAAAGTGACTAGGACTATTTTCAACAGTATTATAATGATGTGTCCTGCATATATGATGTCTACTGCATATATGACATGTCCTGCATTAAATGGGACATTAAACATGTCTTTGTTTGCATGTGCCTTCATCCTCTGGTTGTGCAGTAATGCAATTGTAAAAGTGTACCTCGTTAAATTGTGCAACTGTATTTTAGTTAACACTTGTAATAAAATATATTAAAAAATCATTTCTTTTGTCAGAGAGCTACATGTATTCATTAGTAAAATGTTTACTTGACAATTCAGAGAGCTGTCTTATATTTCCATTCCAGAGCCTATGATTGAATCAATCAATTATTTGTCTTAACCCGATATGACTTATATTATAGACCTCCCAACATTATCAAAATGTACAATGTGAAATGTTTTAATTACCCCTATCACACCGAACTAGTTCTTATCCGACGTTCTTTCCTTTCCGTCTAACGAAAAAGTCGTAAAACGGGCTAAATCTGGCTGTGGTCGGGAAATATGTCTAAAATAATTAGTTACTTCGTTCATAAACATTCTTGGATGTGTCCGTCTCATTCGCATGTTCGTTCAAGTCGCACCATGTCGGTAGTCCTACAAAAATGTGAAACGGGCAAAATCTGGCTGGCGTCGGAGGTCCGAAATTACACGAGATCTCAAAAATATGTCACGTTTACATTGAGTCCCATGTTAGTTTATCAATCTTCAAAATACCCCTGCAGAACAGATCCAAAGCAATAAAGTCCATATTCCTAGAGTGTAACAGCACATGACATGATGGTCTTCAAAACAAAAATGGTTACAAGCTGAATTTTGCCTAGTTTCAGAGATATTGGCGTTTGAAAAATCCCCATAGGCTGCCATTATATACCGCTATCAACATGGCTTTACTAAAGTGTTCTTTTCTTAAAACATCAGAACAAATTAACGAACAGATGAATGAACGGACGGACAGACGGACGGATGCTTCTCTATATCCCTACGAACTGCGTTCGGTGGGAGAATCATATTATAATGTTTAGCTACAGTAGAATATATTAATGAACCAGCAGCATACAATATCAACAAAATTAACAAAATACATATTTGTTGTGAACTGGTAATCAAGAATTTCATTGGAGTTGAAAGTATAGTCTTACAATATTATGATTCAATGTTCTATTTTGTACAGTAAAACAAAGCAGATCGATTACTCTAGTACGTGAAAATGTTAAGTGTACCACTGTACCCGTACCAAAAATGTATGAAATGATAGCCTAGTATAGTAATCTGAAGAATCTACTATTTCTACAACAGATTTCTGAAATGGTTTTACTTCATGGTCTGTACAAACAATAATGAATATATATTACAACCCTCGTCTTGGCCTATACACATACACACACTCTTATTACATGAGAGCCTTATACAGTTAGTCTTTTGGATGGTCCCTCGGAGGCAGAAACCAACCATGTGTTCGCCAAGGGTCATTTATAAGAGCCCTACTATTTTAAGCAGGAGAAGCGGCACTGATCTGGGATCTACTCTGATTGGCGGATTCTATTAGTAATGATTAGATATTACACCTTGGGTACAAGGTATGAATACTCAAATTGTGAAAATAATAAATAATTGCTCATCAACATTGTTCAAGTCCGAGCTATTCTTATTTTGAATTCTATGTTTGAAACTGGCTTGACGAATTGTTCCCCTCCCTGATTGTGGTCCGTTACAGCGACTGGATTGATGACACTCTCCTCCCAATAGGTGGCAGTGAAGATAAAACAATAACAAGCCATATATCGAAATACTTGACACTAAAACTTTGAATGAATGGAAGATAATTGTTCGAATATTGTTGTTTCAAATTAATTTCCGACAAATTCAGCGAATGTGGCATCAAGATCGGTACTGATTTGGTGGTATTTCTCCTTCTCAGCAAGGAGTTCATCTGAAACAAACAAAAAGGTTCACTTATAATTTTCCATAATGCAATATTTTGCCAAACAATTATTAACAATATTTAAGCTGGAATTTAGGCTGAATTAACTCATTAGATAGAACCGTTAATTATGCTAACCATCTGGTTATGTGGGTTTCAAACTGTTTTGCTTGGTAATCCCTCCTTTGGTTACTATGGTGACTCACATGTAGCTCAGTGCAAACAATTCATTGTGCTTTATTCAACTCAATAATCTTACTCAAGAATTTTATTTTACAAAGACGTTCATATTCATTATGAATGGCAATTCATGTACTGTGTTACAAGCAGGTCCTACTTCTATTGTACGCTGGATGCCAGAAACAGAACCGTGCATTGAGGTTATCATGTTTATTATTTACAATATTAACAAAAAGAAAATACATTTTGCTGGCACAATAAAAAAAAATTGGATAACAGCTGAGAGCTCTATCACATGTGCTCTAAGTGTCATTCATTCCTCTGCACGCACACTTCTGGATATTGCGGGGAAAGTTATTGGCCACATTCGCCTGAACCCTACAGATTTTTATCTTTGGAGGTACTTGAACCCCAATACCATTGAATACCAGAAGAGCGAGATTACCAGGAAGATCAGAGCCATGTGGAAAATTAGGGTTGTCGATGACAACTTTGTCCATAGAATCCAGATGCACCATGCATCCTTCCACTCTCCAAAGTGTCTGCCAAGTGGGTACCACATCAACTGAATGATGTACAGGCTTGAGAAACGTGTGACATTGTTCGGGGAATCCCGTGTTATACTGCTGCCGTCACCTCTAGAGAAACTTGGATCAGACCATCCTGAACATCAACTTTCACTGGCAAATATGGAGGCAGGGTCCTGGCCCCCTTTGGAGCTCTTTGTTGGTGTGGCCGGAAAAATTGAGGTCCACAAATTTTAGGGCCCAAACTCTGTTTCGCTGCCACATAAATTGGGGAATTTTGGTAACCAATTGGCATAACTGGGCATAATTTTTTTTTAATTTGGGGCATTTTAAAATTTTCAAAAGTAGGGCCCAAATCTTTTTCCGGAAATTTTTGCTTTTTTAATTTTAAGGACCACTATGACTTTATTCACCTGACCAAGCACCAAATGACTTCTACTTGCTGAATTGAACGGGATTTAGTGGACATGCATTTGGGAATGATGATGCCATGCGTTCAAATGTGTTAAACAGACTTCAGGAAATGAGTTGGGATAGATGTGTAAGGGGGCACAGAGTTTGAGTCCAAACTTGAGGAAATGCACGAGGCGTTGTTTCATAAAATTAACACTCGATGCTGCGCATCTCGTGGAAATTTTTGAAAAGAACACCTTCAAGGAATGGTCATTCCACATTGTATTGAGTCCAAAGCTTAAATCCTTAAATAAGAATAAATAAATCGTTTCACGGCCATCTTGATTTACATTTTAAAGTCCCCATGTACAGTTTAAAAATATGTTTTTATCATTCATTAACTATTTGTAATGACTTTAAAAGTTATTTTAGAGGTTTTTTAGCAAAAAATATTCTTGAAAAAAAAGTTGTCAGCTTTTCATTTCTCAAATATTCAAATTTCCCACAATTTTTCAAATAAAAATTGAAATTTTATCATCAAACATCCCACTATATAGTGCATATACATTATCTTTTGAACGCCAATGCAAATTGTGAACAAAGGACTCACTATTTCAATAATAAAAGGTCATATCTAATGCGCCACTTCAATGTTTTAGCATATCAGAAACATTCCATGTTTATTGTTATAATTAAAGGGGCAATAAGGATTGTAGAGAGAAAATTCGAATTTTTTTATTTTTCTGAGCTATCAGGTCAATATTTGGCTTAACACCTTCTTTGACATACCTATTTCCTTAAAATGTATGTGTAAACTATCAATTTCAGCATTAAGAAGTGTAAATTCAGTTCAAAGCTTCTATAAAGGGAGTTCCACTTCTAGATTTTTAAGATCCACCACATTTCAAGAAGAATATCAGCTGAAATAATGTTCATCCAGGTGGTTTCTTTGTAGATAATGAAAATATATGTTAGTCTTGATGAGATATCCAAACTTAAATATATTTTGACACTGGTCGATGATCGTTGAATGGCCCCCCAGCACTAATTGTTGCACCTTTAAATTATGCTACCATTGGTTTCTATGAGTACTAAAATACATTTTCAATCGCTAAAAATATTATTACAGGGTGTTCCAGAACTCATGAGAATAATTCTCCTTGGAGTTTAATATCTGAAGTGGATGTCTTTTCAGCTACTCTTTATACACATTCCTAAATCATTCGATAGCCATTCCGGTAGGCTCCCCTGAATCAACATAATGCAATTCCTACTCTGTTTCAGACACAACCCACTAATATTTGTTTAAGTTCCCCAAAGAAATGAAAGTCAAGTAGAGGAAAATCTGGTAATTATAAGGAGCTGATACTGTCTAAATAGAATGTAAACTGGATGCAATACTGAAATGTAGTGACTTTTGCACTGGTACATTGTTAATATGCAAAATCATATTGCCAAGCAATTGGGGACATTTCTCCCAGTCCCCCAAGAACATGGCATATGATCCTTCACCAAACCAAATATACAATCCCTTGATGTATGTGGTCTCTATCAAAAGGTCCAAGTGCAGTATGGCAAGTGATTTTAGACAGTCATATCTTTCACCATGAGTATTTTCTGGGTATAAATACAGTGTTTTTATTGAAACAATATGTTTTCTATAAAGTGACGTCCCCAAAATAAACCAATCTATATATTGTGTTTTAAACATTACTGTTCCATTGGTTTCTATGACAGCTAAAATTTTAAAATGCATTTTTCTCTGAACCACTTTCATGCATGGATGAGTTTCTTTATCAACAAATTTTCTTATTTTTCTGCAAAAGACACGTGAGGACGGATGCTGCGAATCGATGTGAAGTATCGCTTATTAAATCATCCGAGTGAGCTCTAAATAAATATATACAGTATATGTATCAAAAATATTCTAGTTATAGCTATTGCCCCTTTAAATTGATTTCAACATTTAGTGGAGAATTACGTATTACATGGAAAAATCATAAAAAAGG